ACACAGCATAAGGAAGGCTGTAGAAGCATCCATGCATTTGACTTGTGGTGCTGGAGAAGAATATTGAAAGTACCATGGACTGATAAAAGGACACACCCATCTGTATTAGAAGGAAGGCCAGAGTGCTCCTCAGAGGCAACGATGGCAAGACTTCTTCTTACAGACTTTGGATCTATGGCCAGCTGAGAACAGTCCCTGGAGAAGGACACCATGTCTGGTAAAGTGCAAGGGCAGGGAAAAGAGGCAGGCCCGCGACGAGATGGACTGACGTAGTGACTGCATCCATGGGCTCAGGCACAGGGACAATTGTGAGGATGGTGCAGGCCTGGGCAGGGTTGGGTACTGCTGTGCAGAGGACCGCTATGGATCAGAACGGACTCAATGGCACCTAACAGTAACCAATCACACGCGCCATCTGTCCTCAGACTGATTTCAAAGGGCCTCTGACAGGTTTTCAAGGTTAATCTATATGTGTATGAGGAGCCTTGGTGGTTCCAGGTATAAGTAATTGGCTGCTAATCAAAAGGTCAGTGGTTTAAATCCTCCCGTCATTCTGCAGGAGAAAATACTTGGCATTCTGTTCCTTTAACAATCTTAGCCTTGGAAATCATTCTTCTTTGGGGTCGTTCTACCCTGTCCTAGAGGGTCACCATGAATCAGAATTGATTCGATGGCACCCACCCACACTATATGTATATTTTTGGATGCATAACTATATTTATAGTCATGTAATTAAGACAACATGTGCATGTTGTGTGGCAGCGTTCAAGTATGTGAATTCAAGATGTTTTGATTTATCGACGTGTTAACATGTTGTGTGCTGTGCATATGTGCATGAGTGTGAAGACTTGTCCCTGGTATGTGTCCCAGGTGTGTCTATGAGGCTTGTGGAACATGGTGTTTTCCAAAGTGGTCTGCCTTGGCTACGGAAGTTTACGCCATCATTAGCTGGTACTGGTGTGGGCGTGGGATGGGTGTCCTGGGTCTGAGATGGCCAGTTGCTCTTGGTTTCTTCTGTAGTTTCCTTCGGCTTCTTGTTCTTTCCATGTTGGCCACCAGACTTTGCTTTTCTGGCACTGTGAGGCCACTACATCCTTTGCACTGTCTTCCAGGCCCACTAA